CTCACTTAACTCTAATACTCCTATTTAAATAATTTCTCAGCTTCACTAAGATCTCCAATCCATTAACCTCACTACTTTTTTCACTATCCATCACCACCTCTATATAGTTACTTCTCTCCTTCCCAGCTTAGAGTCCCTGGTCCATCAGGGGAATCAATCACTTATAAACATCCTCAACTCTCTTACCCCTCTCTCCTTGTATTATATTTCAACCCTAGCTGAGTCCCATTGTCAGCTCCTACAATGAAGCTGTTGAATATTCCTGGATAAAAGTCACATAACTGGGATGACTGACTTGTCATCCATGTTATAATGATCATAATCTCAAATAGGCTCTCATTCCTTCTGGGCAATCCTAGAACGTTTCTATAGCAAGTTTGATTTTTCAATTTCTCAAGATAAATAGTTTGTATTTTATCCTCTTTCTTCAAACCTTGTTCACACCTCATCTTCTTTACTCTCAGCCTCTGACCTTGCTTTAGATTTAACAGAGAAAGTAGAAGTCTTTCAATCAGAATTACCTCATTTTCCTCATTTATCAGAATACCCTCACTACTGTGAAATTTACCTAGTTATCAGAACTTAATCTATCTTCTCTGTTTTATCTCCTATCTCTGCTCTTGTCTAACAGAAATTCCTCCCCTTGTAGAATATTACTTAGTCAGTAAAAGAGTGAAATCTTACCATTTGGGGGCGCCTGGGTGGCTCAGGCAGTTATCTGCCTTCAGCTTTGGGTCATGATTCTAGGGTCCTGGGATCGAGTCCCACGTCAGGCTCCTTGCTCAGTGGGGAGCCTGCTCCTCCCCTAACTGCCAGTCCCTCTGCTTGTGCTTGCTCTCTCCCTCTCTCCCTCTCTCTCTCTCTGTGTGTGTCAAATAAATAAATAAATAAATAAATAAATAAATAAATAAAATGGAAAAAAAAAGTCTTACCATTTGCAATGACATAGATGGAACTAGAGAGTATTATGTTAAGGGAAATAAGTCAGAGAAAGATAAATACCATATGATTTCACTCATGTGTAGAATTTAAGAAACAAAACAAATGAGCAAAGGGAAAAAGAAAGAGAGAGAGAGAGAGAAACCAATAAACAAACTCCTAACTACAGAGAACAAACTGATGGTCACCAGAGGGGAGGTGGGTGGGGGATGGGTGAAATATGTAATGGGGATTAAGGAGGGCACTTGCTGTGATGAGCACCGGCTGTTGTATGGAATTGTTGAATCACTATATTATACCCCCGAAACTAATATAACACTGTATGTTAACTAACTGGAATTAAAATAAAACTTAAAAAAAAAGAAAGGAAATTCCTCCACTTGTGCTCTGGCTCCAGTACCCTTTTGCCTTCTCAAGTATCTTATTCCTTCAGTGGTCCCCACTCTCTCTCCTGCATCACCAATCTCTACCTTTCCACTGAATCATTCCCATCAGCATAATCTGCTCTAGTAAATTTCATCCTAGAGCTTCTTTCTCTAATCCCGTATCCCACCTTAACTACAGCCCCACTTCTCTCTCGTTCTCCTTACTATAGGTCTTCTCTATAGCTTTATAACCAGTTTCCCATCACACATTCATTCATCAGCCCAGTTTTATCTGGGCTTGCATCTTCATCATAGCACTGAAACTGCTTTTGTTAAGGGTACCAAGAATGCCCATATTATCCAATCTAATGGACTCTTGATCTCTGAGCAGTGTTTGACAGAAATGACATTTTCCTCTCTGTAGCTCCATACTCTCCTCCCCTCTGGCTTTTCCTTTTAAGCCTGAACTCTAAATATTGGAGACAGCGCTCCATGCTACTTCTTATTTGCCTGTTCTTTGCACAGGTGATTTTATCCAGTCCCAAGGCTTTAAATGCTGACGCCTTCTAAACTCACACCTTTAGCATAGAACTTCACTCCCGGATTCCAGATTTATTCAATTGCTATTCAATTTCTACTTGGACGTCTATTAAACATCTCAATCATTATAGTCCTAAATACAGCTTCTAATCTCTCTCGTAAGTCACCATTTCAGTAAATGGCACCATCATCCAGTTGTTCAAGCCAACAATTAGAAGTGATCCTGCAGGGCGCCTGGGTGGCTCAGTTGGTTAAGCGACTGCCTTCGGCTCAGGTCATGATCCTGGAGTCCCGGGATCAAGTCCCACATTGGGCTCCCTGCTCAGCAGGGTGTCTGCTTCTCCCTCTGACCCTCTTCCCTCTCGTGCTCTCTATCTTTCATTCTCTCTCTCTCTTGAATAAATAAAAATAAAATCTTTTAAAAAAAAAAAAAGAAGTGATCTTGCCATTTCCCTTTCCCTTATTTCCCATATGTGGCAGCCATGAAAACACACTGCTCAGATCTCTGATCACAGGGAGCATTACTGGCTGATGGCCCCAGTTGCTGTGCTCTGAAATCTATCACCATGATCCAGGCTGCGTTTCCCATGGATTGCTCCCAGCCAGTGACTGAGTGAGGCAGGGTCAGTAAAGGAGGCCCATTCCTGGAAGACATAGGACTCCTCTGATGCGGGACAGTGGCTTGAGGACTCCCCATTGACTTTCTTGAAAGATTCTTAGAATTGCATCATATCTACAACTTTTCCTACCCATTTTTCTCCTGTCCTCCATGAAAGTTGAATCAGCATCCAGTCTAAAGGTTTTCCCAGTCCCCTTCAGAGCCCTCCCCGTTTTTCCTTCGCAGGTGTCTTCCCCAATAAGTCTTTTGCACATTTAATCTAACCTTATGGTCTGTTTCTCAAAGAACCTGGACTAACACACCACAGCTGAACTGTCAGCAATTTTATGTTATTTCTGTTTCCTAAATATACCTCTTGCAGCCATCCGCTCCTCTCTATTACCACCATCACTGAGTAGAAGCTATGCCATTTCTCCCCTGGATTATTGCAACAGCTGCCTACTCTCCAATCCAGTCTCAACACAGTAGCCAGAGTGATTTTTTATTTTTAGGGTAAATCATGCCACTTCCCTGCTTAAAACCTTTCGATGGCTTTCCATTACAATGCCTAGGGTAAAATTTAAACTCCCACGACCGCCATAAGATACTTTAAAACCTGGGTCCTGCCTGTCTTTTTAGCTCCGTCTCATATCACCTTCCTCCTTTAGCCCCGATGCTCATCACCAAGCTCCAGCCACACTAGTGTCCCTTCTCTTCCTACAAATTGTCAAATCCTTTCTTGCCTTGGGGCCTTTCCGCTTGCTCTCTCTTCTTCATAAATTACTCCTCCTCCATCTCTTCAGAGGGTGGGCTCATTTTCATCCTAAGTGCTCAACTTAAATGTCCCCTCATCAGCAGGGTCTTCTCCACCCAACATTATCCTATTCCCTCTGAAGTAGTTACCACTATCTGTAACCATTTCGCTTAGTGTGTTTCTCCCACTTGAACAGGAGTAGGCAAATTATGACCCATAGGCAGCCAATTGTTTTTGTAGGGCCCAGGATCTAAGAATGGTTTTTATGTATTTAAGTGTTTGAAAAAAATTTTTAAGAATATTTCACAACACATGAAAATTATGTTAAATTCAAATTCCAGTGTCCATAAATAGAGTTGGAACACAGTCACTTTCATTTAGGCATTATCTATGGCTGTTCTAACACCACAACAGCGAAGCTGAGTAGCTGCATATGGCCCACAAAGCCTAGGACATTGACAGAAGAAGTTTTCTTTTCTAAACTTTTATTTATTAAGTAATCTCTACCCCCAACACAGGGCTCAAACTCACAACGCCGAGACGAAGAATCACATGCTCTAGCGACGGAGCCCGCCAGACACACCCAGGAAAGGTTTTCAGACCACTGCACTAGACTGGGAGTGCCATGGGTCAGGGGCACTGATGGTCCTGTTCAGTCCTTCACTCCGAGTGCCTGGTCCACAGCTAATGGACTTACCCAAGTGCATGCGGTATATTACCAAATCTTGGCATTGAGGAGCTCGGTTTGGAGCGAACGGCCCTCACCTGGCAGTGAGAAGACATAACTCTTCCTAACTCGTACCACTTAACTGACCCCGAACAATCGCAACTTCGGTGTTGTTTCTTTTCCTCACGTGTGAAAGCAGCCTCTGCACGGACACGACATTCCTCTGGGGTCGAGCCGGCGTCTCTAGGCCAGTTGTTGCCTTTTCTGCAGGTACGGAGCCCTCCCACTCTCGCCCTACCGGAGCTCGCGGGCAGAGGCGGCCTGAGGGGCGGGACCAGCCCGGGGGCGGGGCGGGGCGCGTCGGGGGCGGGGCCTCCCTCTTTCCGGCTGCAGTCGCTGCCGGGCCGGGCCGGGCCGCACGGGGGCGCCGCTGGGGCCGTGCTGCTCCACGAGTTGCCGAGCCGCCGAGGAGGCCCTCACTTCCGCGTCGGGCCCCGCGGCGTCCGGCGGCCGCGCGGAGGGCCGGGCGGGCCGCAGGTCAGTCGGGGAGGCCGCCTACCCGGCCCCGCCCGTGCAGAAGACCCGGGCGCCGGGTGGGCCGCGGGCCCGGGAGGCGGCGGGGCGCCCCGAGGAAGGGCCCGGATCACGCCGATATCACGGGTGCCCCGGGCTGCAGGCTCGGGCTTCGGGCCGATTCGGGGCCCCCCGGGCACCGGGGAGACCCTGGCGGGGCTTTGAGGTGTCCCAGCCCCTCCCTGTTTGGTCCCGCATCGTGGGAGGAGTGCTAGTGCCCTGAACAGCGTTTCTCAAAGTGGGGTCCGCGTGCGGACTCTCGACTCTTATCCCAGACTTTCTGAACCGGACTCTTGTGCTGTGGCCCGGGAATCTGAATTTACAGCAAACGACTCTGATGGTTTTGATGCCGCGAGTCACCGAACCGCACTTTGGGGGCCCTTCCCCAGAGAGCAGGGCATTTCTGACACGGCAGGGAGTCTAAGTGGGTGCATTTGAGGATGGGGCCTCGAGACTGGCCTTGAAATGGTGGTGGATAGTTCTCTGCCATAGGAGAAACTGACTGAGGCAGGGGTATCTCTTAAAATCCTTGCACTCAGGGTGCTGCTGTGTTCCTCTTGTCACAACAGCAGTCTTCAGATGGACAGATGCTTAGTGAATTAAGTGCCCGTGTCAGGGGCCTTAGGGATGAAACAGTGCTGAAGTAGGCAGTGTGGGGTGCAGCAGAAAATTTGGAGCTGGTCCTGCTGACCTGGATTGGGGCCGACTCCACCACTTACCAACAGGGCAGCCCTAGCGTGGACGCTGCTCACATCACTCGATTTCTTTCTCCAGTGTCATCATCTGTCAATAGAGACAGTAATTCCTGTCCAGTAGGGCTTTTGTGTGAATTAGGTAATGTCTGCCAAGTGTCCCCTGCAGTAACTGGCACCTAATAAGCATTGAGTAAATGGGAGTTATTAAGAGTGATGTAGATTCTGCCTTCCTAGGGCTTTTGGTCAGGGATTAAATAAGTGAGATAAAATGTGGAGAGAGGTACAAAGTATATTTGGTGGACTGTGCACAGATTCTAACTGGGGGGGTGCTTGGGAAGGTCATGCAAGTAGTGAGATTTGCCTGTGGCTTTGAAGAAGAGACGGATTCCAGGGAGCTGGTAACTGGGGCAGCATGAGCCCGTTCCATCCCATGCTTCAGAGGTGGTTCTCTCACATGAATCCTTGCCCGGTTGCTCCTAGGACTTCAAGGCAGCCAAAGAAGTCACATTGATAGGTGGTTTTTGAAAGCCGGACCATTGGTCCATAAGAGTTTCTGCCAGCTGACCATGTTTGACACACATTGTTTTCGTCAGACACCAGTGGTCTCCTTTTCCCAAATCATTGGAGATTGGCTAAATTGGAGCATCTACAAAATGATGCTCGTTGAATGCATAGTAAAAGTGAGTTGCCATGAATATAGTTGAGCCTCTTGACAGCCATTTTACATTTGCTGTGAAATGTGCAGTTACATCAGGAGTACCTTTTTCATCACAGTATTGTTTTAGGTTCCATAGAAACACCACAGTCACCTGTGGTTCATCCATCTCCAGAGAGGATTAAGAAGTCACATCTTTAAAACTTCCCTAAAGCTTCAGGCATTTTTGACTGGAGAAGCCAGATGATTTAGAGGTGTTATTTGTTGCTCTTCTGGACCAGTCTGGCTACTGGTATACATAAAATTCTGATTTCAGTTGATAAATTCTGTATTCCTTAGTTACCTAACCTAGGAACTACAGTTACCATTGTTAATAATTTCTGCTGTTATGTCTCCTTAAATCTCCAGAGCCAATATCAATCCCTCTGTATACACTTTATGGTAAAATTTATATCATTATAGATAACATTTATCATTTAGCAAGTACTTACTCTGAGCCAGAGACTGTTCTATATGTTCTGTCAGCTTATCTTAGCTCTTTATATGTTCCGTCAGTTATTCCTCTGATAGTCCTTTGAGGTAGGCACCATCCCTGGCTCCATTTTATAGATGAGGAAACCGGCAGAGGAAGATAAGTATTTGCCCTCCGCCCCCAGTAAGTGGTAGAGCCTTGTAGCCTAATCCCATGCTACGTGCTGCCCCCCTCTGCAAGTCTAGACAGCTCCCTCAGACTTCCTGTAGTTTTAAAAGATATGTGAATATCAAAGAACATAAGCAAACTTCACCTTTGCTTTATATGTGACAGACAATGCACTATTTTGTTTAATTCCTTAAACAATCATTTCAATAGCTATGATTTGGTTGGTGATAGTTTATCATTTACAAATACTCTGAGCCAAAGTTTTCCAGCTTCCCAATGTATCTCAAACTTCTTTCATATTATACAAAGTCCTTCAATATTGTCAGTGCTGAGGGATTTATTTTAAGTCACATTAAAACGTATTTATTATCTACTTAGTGTACTGTTGGAAATGTCAGCAGTGACTGTTCTTTGTTTTCACAGAGGTGGACCAGGACCACCCTTGTTTTGCACTTTCTGAAAGCATTTGAAGGCAAAAATTCAGGTGTTGCTGGGAACAATGGAAGGTCACAAGGCAGAAGAAAAGGTGTTAGATATTCTTCGACTGAATGTGGGCGGCTGTATTTACACAGCCAGACGTGAGTCCTTGTGCCGCTTTAAAGACTCAATGCTGGCATCCATGTTCAGTGGTCGTTTTCCTCTAAAAACAGATGAATCGGGTAAATATCTAAAGTCCGTAAGCATGATCATAAATATTCATTACAATAGTCTAGTTTAAATTCCCTTTGGTTTTCATAATCGCAATAGAATGTATTCGACCAGTATACTAATTATTGAGACCATTAGGGCTGAGTGGAGATTTATTAAATACATGGAGAAATGAAATACCAGTTTCCAGAATCTGTGATGCTGTCACTACAAGTTGACAAGACAATGAACGTGTGTAAAGGCCTACCATGACCTCAGTATGGTGACTGATTTTATTTGGAAAGTTGTTCCATCCATGCAACTCCATGGGTAAAGGCATGGAGGCTTCTGTCTGTGTTCGTCAGGTGAACACACTGATTTCTCTGGAGAAAGCAGCCACCCTCCCGCTCCCAGGGCAGTTGGCGGCAGTGAGCTTTAGCGTGAAACCTGCCACCTCATCTAGCTGCGTAGCCTTGTGTGGGCTGACGTGCACACGAGAAAATGTCAGTCACCTAGTGGCAGAGGACTAAACACTGGTGTTCCAGAAGAAGCAGGGTAGGGATCTGTGCTGCTGTCCCTGCTTGGAGTGCTCCAGTGTTGACTGAACCTACTACTGGTTGTAGAGAAACCTCAGGAAGGCCAGTAAGGCATTTTGCACCTCTTCGGTGTTCTGGGGCCCAGGGAACCCACTCTGGCTTCTGTGTCAGAAGAGAGGGAGTGAGGAGTCTTGAGCATGAGGGGCTGTTAGTAACCCTGGGTCTTGAGAGAGTGCTTTGCCAGCGGAAGGGCAGTTGAATGAATGGGAAACACCAATGGCTGGTGCCCAGGGCTTGATGGCCCCGTGGGCAGGAAGTTTGTTGGTGGAAAGATGGTAAGCAGGGACTGCGTTTTTTCTCTGTCCCCAAGTTTTAGTTTCTTAATCACTTGTAAGTTAATCAAGGGAGAAAAGGAATTATTGAGTAACCTCACACCAACTTGGCTAAATTGTCATAAAGTAGTACCAGCATAGCATTAGGAGCTCTGGGTTTATATGTCAGTGACACTACCAGTTGACTTCCAGCCAAACATGACATATTAATGGGCATGCCCTCATTAGGGAGGTGCTCCATATGTCTTTCCTGGCTGGGCAGGGATGAGGTTAGGGGTAAGCTTACATTTCAGGAGCAGTCTGGGGTCTCCGTGGCTTTTGAAGGGCCACAGTGGGAATATGGTCATTGCATCCAAAATCCCAAATGGACCTCGGAATACATTTTCCTGTATGGTAGGTGAGAAAACAGAGGATCACCAAATTTGACTAAACCCATTTGAACAGTAGCTATCAACTTTCTTGTGAGAGAGAAACGTTTCTAGTGGTAGAGGTCTGATTTTAGTTTGACATGTTGAAATTTTATTTATGGTCATATGTATCTATGCAATGATTTTTGAACTGAATGTTTTCTAGGGGCTTGTGTTATTGACCGTGATGGACATCTATTTAAATACCTTTTGGATTATCTTCACGGAGAAGTTCACATTCCCACAGATGAGCAAACCCGTGGTGCTCTGCAGGAAGAGGCTGATTACTTTGGCATCCCTTATCCATACAGCCTGTCTGACCACTTGGCCAATGAAATGGAGACATATTCTTTAAGGTCAAATATAGAACTTAAAAAGGTCTTGGCATTTTCTTAAGTTTTAAAAAATATATATGTATACATATATATACATTTTAATACACAAAGCAATGTGTGTTATTTTGCATAGTCTGTGTTGCCACATAAGCCAAACATGGGAAAGTTTTACTTTTTCTAACTTTTGAAGACACTTTGCTTAATTACTACTAATTTTTTTAAGGCCGAAATCCTATGTTCTAGGGAAGTGTATTACATTGCCACTCAGAGGTTTATGGAGTGTTTATCTCTCATTGAAGATTTAATGTCTTTTGATGGCTTTTTAGATAGAAATATTCTGCTCTTTAGGTTCTTTGTAAATTAACAGCAATACTGTAGTATATAAGGGTATAGGGTTTTATTTACTGAAATGACTTTTTAAAAGAATGGTCATGATAAAGAAATGATTGTATAAAATCTCCAACCTGATTTAGTGAGTGTAGCAGTTTGTTACTAAGTTAAAACATCGGTTTGATTAATTCACTTTGAGATCAATAAATCTTTTTTTTAAAGATGCTTCTCCTTTAAATTACATTTTAAAAATCTTTACATAACTTAAAAAGCTTCATTACCTGTTTTTGTCTTATCGATAAGTATTATATTTGCTTTTAGCACCTTTAGGGATCTAAAAGGAAAATATTTTTCCTAGATAATTAATAATAGTGAAAACTGATATGAATTGATTTGATTTGGACCTTGGCTTAGGAGAGCAAGCTGACAGTATGGTTATTAGGAGTGTAGCATGAAGAGAAATTTGATTTGGTTCCAGATCATCTTCAGGATTTGCACAGTTGTATGGGTTCTGCTACTGAAGTTATTTAGAAATTGAGTCGTCTAACAGTTATTTGGTGCTGTTTGCCACATCTGCAGATTGGGGCTAAAACACCTGACTGGAAAGTTGGGGTGGGTTAACATTCATCTTCTGAAGTCTCAACTCTAGTCTTTTATTTCTGTTTTATATGCAAAGAGGACACAGCATGTGCACATTCACTATGTCAGCCAACACATATTTATCTCAAATGTCTTAGGTGTATATAGCACTGCTCTAGGGACTGTGTGGGACACAAAGAAATACAACATACAGTTAGATAGCAATATTAAATGAAAATGTAAGACATGTTAGTGTCCTATTTTCATTCACTTGAGTCAGTAAATATTAAGCACCTCCTTTGTGTCAGGCACTATTCCACGCCCTTGGGATACTAGACAAAGCAGACAAAAGTGCCGGTCCTGAGGGCGCTCACAGGAATAATGCTGTTTCTCCCAGGGGAGGCCCTTGCCACTCCCCTGGGTGAAGTCCTACTGCTCTGTGTCCCTTAGCACTTCATCGACTCACCTGGTAGCACTTACACTGTGTCCTGACGGCTTGTCAACTGTCTGTCTTTTACCTTAGCTATAAACTCAAGGAGGGCTGGGACGCTGTATCCAGGACCTTAGACACCACTCACCACATTAGTACCTTCTTAATATTCAAGTGAATGAATGAATAGGTAGATAAATGCCAAAGGAGTTCTTATAGTTTGCATTGAGTTTGTATATTCATATCTTTCAGTGGAAAAGAACAAGTTAATCTGGTTAATTTATGATTGGACGTGGAGTTAAAAATAAGCATCAACCATGAGGCTTAGTCAGTAGAAGGTGAAAAGAAGATTGAGTCAAATGGGAAATTGGGGGAAAATAAAGGGAAAAGAGAAAGGTCTTTTAGTCATACGAAGATTTTAAAATTAAAAATAATATTGGTAGTGAGGCTAAAGGAGGAGGAAGGAAAATACAATTTCTGTGTGGAAAAGAATTCTGTAGAGGAAAAGGTGTTGGGTTTTTGGGTGATGCCTTTTGTGATTTGCCCCACCCCCACCCCAAATTCAACAAAAGCATGTTTGGTTTTTCAAGGCATAAAGACTAGGCCGAAATTCATAATCTTTTATTTCCCTTATGACCAACTGGTAATAGAGCAAATTAATTTTTACTTTACTCCAGAATTAAATTCAAATTTTGTATATTTTTTTGCTCCAGGCTCTAACAGACTTCTGTGATTCATATGGTTTAGTTTGCAATAAGCCAACAGTTTGGGTTCTTCACTATCTTAACACATCTGGTGCAAGCTGTGAGAGTAGAATTATTGGTGTATATTCCACAAAAACTGATGGAACAGATGCTATTGATAAGCAGCTGGGAGGAAGAATTCACAGTAAAAGCATTTTTAAAAGGTATGTCCATATTTACATATGAAAAGGAACAAAATAAAGTCTTAGTGTCTTGTAAGAGGTGTTACTGAATGGAGTATGTGGTTGACTAGAGAAGATCATCAACGCCGGGCAACACACAGCATGAGCCCTCATGGCTGGCGAAACCGGCCCACTTCATGACGTATATGTAAGCTATAGGACATCCACGGTGGTCTAGTATATTGCCTCTCAACTGGGAGTGGGCATCAGAAGCCCCTGAGAGACTTTAGAAAAAAAGAAGAGAAAGAAAAGCAAAGCCACCTGCCTGGCTGTTTCTGCTGGACCATCGTCCAGGAGCAGAAGCACTGCTCAGAAGTCAGCAGGCCTGCCAAGTGACCCAGAACTGGCCTGTGCCTTGGTGTCCTGTTCTGAGAAATGATGAAGGACTTCCCTGGTCCCTCCCAGCCTTAAAATTCTATGACTTGAACATGTCAAATTCTTAAGGGTTATTCTCTTAATACTTTTTCTGTAAATTTACTTAACATTGGTCAATTCACTTAGCAGTCCTTTTTTTTTTTTTTAATTCTCTGGATGGTTGGATTGGGTCACATATTAGTGACCAATGAATGACCACATGAACTTGGTTATTAGGTGATTAAATATGTCATTGTTTTCTGAATTCTTTACAGGATGTTTATATAAGATATATGAGTGCCTGGCATAATGCTATGAAAGTTTTAGTCAAAGGTGGATCTTTTAAAATTTTCCTGGGGTTAGGTAATTTTTTTAAAAAACTTATTTTTAAAAATTTGTTGATTTGTCTGCACAGTCTATATTGTGGAATTAACAAGTACTTTACCACAGTAAAAAGAGATCAGATGTAGGTTAGCATGAGTATAGTATATTATACTCAAAGTATCTGATACATAGTGTATTATCTATATGCTTAAGGAAGGGTCACAGAAGAACAACTATTCAATACCAATATATTTTTCCCCTTAATTAACAGGCACTTGGTGAGTATCTATTAGTTATACATGTGTGTGTGTGTGTACACATTCATACTTAGGTAGTATGTTTTCATCACCTTTTGCAATATTTCTAGAGAGGCGGGAAATAATGTTCAGTACATTTGGAGCTATTATTCAGTAGCTGAACTGAAGAAAATGATGGATGCCTTTGATGCCTGGGAAGGAAAAGGTATAGTACAATTCTTTTATTTCATGGCAGAAGGTAGACTTTTCCTTAATAAAACAAAGTAAGCACAAATGCTGCATTTCTCTTTTTTAGAAAGTATTTCTTTGTATAGGTTAAGTATTTCTTTGTGTATTTGCCACCCCATAATATCATTGATTGAGGCAGTTTACTTAAAAATCTTTAGACCTGGGGCGCCTGGGTGGCTCAGTCGTTAAGTGTCTGCCTTTGGCTCAGGTCATGATCCCAGGGTCCTGGGACCGAGCCCCACATCGGGCTTCCTGCTCCGTGGGAAGCCTGCTTTTCCCTCTCCCACTCCCCCTGCTTGTGTTCCCTCTCTCGCTATGTCTCTCTATCAAATAAATAAATAAAATCTTAAAAAAAAAAAATCTTTAGACCTCTTGGGGCGCCTGGGTGCCTCAGTCAGTTAAGCGTCTGACTCTTGGTTTCAGCTCGGTCCTGGTCTCAGGGTCATGAGATCGAGCCCCTCGTCAGGCTCCATGCTTAGCACAGAGTCTGCTTGCGACACTCTCTCCCTTTCCCTCTGCCCCTTCCCCCTGCTCTCTCTCTCTCTCTCTCTCTCTCTCTCTCTCTAAAATAAATAAATAAATCTTAAAAAAAACTTTAGATCCCCGAGTTGCTAGCTATTACTAATAGTTTATAATCCAGTAACCTAAAAAATAGTTTATAATTTCAGCATGTTAGTTATGTTTATTTAGTTCAATTAAACAACAGTTTATTTAGCACCTACTGTGTACCTAGCATTGTTCCTAGGAAGTATACCTTTAATGTAAGCATACAATGTACAATCAAAAGAAAAAAGGAGGGGCACCTGGCTGGCTCAGTTGGCAGAGTATGCAACTCCTGATCTCAGGGTCGAGCCCCATGTGAGGTATAGAGATTACTTAAAAGTAAAATCTTAAAAGGAAAAATTTAAAACAGAGAAAATGAAAATAATGCCACAGAAGATGTCTGAAGAACGCTTAGGAAACACTCATCTTTAAATGCACACTTTGAAATTTGACCATTTTTCCCAACTGCTCATATCATTTGATAATAATAATGCTGTTTAGGATCCAGTGTGATAAGTGGTTTACATTCAGTACCTCTTAGTCTTAAAACAATTCTGGATGCTGTTTATCACTTTACTGATGAGAAAACTGAGTCTCAGAGAGGCCATGCCACTTGTAAGGATCACAGAAGGTTAACTGTTCTGTGCCTAAGTTTGTTTTTTTTCTCTTAATTAACAAGTATGTATTGAGTGTCTCTTAGGTGCAAACCCTATAAGAAGTCCTAAAGTTGGGTCCACAGATAAATAGGACACATCTTGGTCCTCAAATGATCTTAAAAGCTGGTAGAGACCGACACTGCAAGTCACGTGAGGTTGAATAAAAGGGGGGGGCTTTTCAGAACTCCGCGGTCACCTGTTTCTCTTTCTGACGAGGTGCTCGTACCAACCCTCTTCCTTTCCTGGACTTTGTCCCCCTCACTTTTCCTCCTTTATTTTTTTTTTCTAAATCAGACCCCTCAAACAGATAGAAAACAATTAAGTTTTTCATTTTAGATTTAAGTGACTTTAAGACACTTAGGCTTCAGGAACAAACCCCTCGGTGTTCTCTGTGGCTCTGGACTGGCAGACGGCCCCGGAGGTTTTGTGGGGGAGCCCTGGCTGGGCTTCTTTCTCCACTGACCCAGGAAGCTGAAGGGAAGAGCTGCTATTACTGGCTCACAGAGTGGAAGACTGATTTTGACTTTTTGGGAGCATGTAATGAAGTATCATTGGTATTTAACACCGTTCTGGAAGGCCTGTGCAAAGCCATCAGACAGGAAACAGAAAGAGAAAGAATTATTAGAAGGAAGAAGACAGTTATTATTTGGGGACAGTATGTCTTTTTAGAAAACCCAAAGGAATCAACTAAAGGTATTTTAAATGATGAGTTGAGTAGAACAAACTAGCTGGATACAATATAAGTAAACAAAGACTAGCTTACTTATGATAGATTAGTTAGAACTTACAGGAGAGGGCGCCTGGGTGGCTCAGTTGGTTAAGCGACTGCCTTCGGCTCAGGTCATGATCCTGGAGTCCTGGGATCGAGTCCCACATCGGGCTCCCCGCTCGGCGGGGAGTCTGCTTCTCCCTCTGACCCTCTTCCCTCTCGTGCTCTCTATCTCTCATTCTCTCTCTCTCAAATAAAAAAAATAAAATCTTAAAAAAAAAAAAAGAACTTACAGGAGAAAATCCCATTCACAATAGCAATAAATGACAGAATCACTAGGACTGACCTATCAAGAAATGCTTTTGTGGAGTCTTTTGTGAAGACTGCTAAAATATATTCATCCATCAGTTCATCCATCCATCTATAAAAAAAGAAGACAGATTATGGTGAGACATACCATGCTCCCGAATGGGAAAGCTATTGAGACAGATTTTATAATATTCATTATAAAGACGTCAGTTCCTCTCAGATTAAGTTACAGGTTTAATGCAATTCCTACCAAAATATAAGTGGAACTCTTTGGGAATCTTGAGGAAATGATTCCAAAATTCCGTTGAAAGAATAAGCCAGTGAAATAGGAACATTTTGGGAAGTAGAAGTCATTAGAGGAATGAGTCTATAACTGTGTGATAGTAAAAATATATGTAGAGAGAGTTGTAATAAGAAGAACCATATGTTTCTGGTACAAGAATAGATGCAGAGATCAGAAGTAAACCCCAGTGAACTTACAAGAATAAAAATACCATGTGATAAGGAGTATTAAATATCAGTGTAAAAAGATAGATAATTTAATAAATGAGAAATATACTTGGGAGAAAACAACTTTAGCCTCATGTCATTTATCAAAATAATCCCAGGTGAATTTATGGATGAAAAATGAAGCTATAATAAACTACAATGAAACTTAAGCAAATAACTGATTTCTTAATAGGAAAATAAATCATAAAGACAAAGATGAATAAATTTGATTATATCATATTTAATATATTAACTTTAAAACAAAAATGCATAAATAAAAGGCTAATAAAAACTTAGATAAAAATATTATATTTAGAGATAAGAATATCCCTAAAATAGAGATTTATTTAAGTTGATTAGCAAATCAATTCAACCCCTATTGTAAATAAATGTGCAAGGTTCATGACCACAGAATTTCCAGATAGATAAACATGTGGCAAGAGGTTCAAACTCATTATTTATCAATGAAATACATATTAAATGAGGATTATTTTTTCATACCAGATTAGTAAAGATCTCTCATGAATTCTTGGCAGGAGTAAAAGTTAATATTACTTTAATGGGAAATAATTTATCATTACATATCCATAACATCAAAATTGTTCATTTTCTTTGACCCGATAACTCTACTTCTGGGTATCTACCCTAAGGTCATAATCAAATGCAGACAAAGGTTTATGAACAGATTGTTCAATTAAGCATTATTCATAATAGAGAAAAAAATAAAAGCAATATAAATGTCTATAATAGAGAAATACATACTGGTACATCTATGGGAAATAGTTGAGCATAGCTATTAAAATTATTTTGAATAATTTTTTACAGAGATGAATGCCCATGATAAAATAAGCTTGTCATGGAATGATCAAAAGCAGGAAACAAAATTAAATATAAAGTGTTTTCAATTAGGTGCCTATCATATGAATAAGAAAAAGACTAGAAACAGATTCATCAAAGTGTCATGAACCATGATTCCTAGTTTTAGGATTAGAATTGATCTTGATTTTTTTTTAGGATTTTATTTATTTATCTGAGAGAGAGAGAGATATTGAGAGAATGACGGGGGGTGGAGCGGCAGAGGGAGAGCCAGACTCCTTGCAGAGCAAGGAGCCCGACATGGGACTTGATCCCAGGACCCTGGGATCATGACCTGAGCTGAAGGCAGACACTTAACCAACTGAGCCACCCAGGCGCCCGATCTTGATTTTTTTTTTATATGTACTTTTCTTTATTATCCAAATTTTGTACAATGAAACTGAATTACTTTATAGGCAGGAAAAAAATAAAAGTTTTTAAAATAAATTATGGTGTATCCATATAATGGAATACTACTCAGCAATAAAAAAAAATGATCATTAATGTGTATATCAACATGGATGAATCTTCAAAGCATCATGCTAAAGAAGCCAGACACAAAAGGCTCTATACTGTATGATTCCGTTTATATGCCACCCCTGAAAAGGCAAAACTAGGGAATGGAGGGGAGGGCATTGATTGCAAAGGGGTACAAGGGAACTTCTGGGGTGACAGAAATGTTCTATGTCTTGACTGTGGCTGTGATTACATGACTTGCATATATTTGTCAAAACTCATCGAACCGAATACTTTAAAAGGGAGAATTTTATTTTATGTAAATTATATCTCAATAAACCTGACTTTAAAAAAGTCTTAATGGATGAGATTTGGGAATGTTTTTATAGCTTAAGTAGGTTTGAGATCAAGCAGTTCCAGAAAATTACTGTCTTAAAATGAGGTCCATAGGCTTCTGTGAGTATTGGATATGTCTATTATAATTTATATGCCCAGCTTGCTAAGTTGGTTAATATTTATCACTAAATCTTTAATGATTAAACAACAAGACACCACGGGTGCCCGGGTGGCACAGTCAGTTGAGCATCCGACTCTTGGTTTTGGCTCAGGTTGGGGTCGTGGGATTGAGCCCCGCATTGGGCTCCGCACTTGGCGTGAAGTCCACTTGAGATTCTCTTTCTGCCCTCTCCTTCTGCCCCTCCTGCTTATGCTCTCTCTCCCTCTCTCTCTCGTAAATAAATCTTTAAAAAACAAACAAACAAAAAAACAAGATACCATATCCATTCCTGGGACTTCAAAGTTACTTTTTTAAAAAATGCCAATTTTTTATTCAACGTTATTTTTTAAGCCTTTTAAAATGCAAAATGCATCTTTATACTTTTGTGATTTCTTTTAAATTGAGGTGAAATTCACATAACATAAAATCAAAGTATATACTTCAGTGGCATTTACTATGTTAACAATGTTGTATAACCACCATCTCTATCTAGTTGCAAAACATTTTCATCACCCCACAAGGAAAGCCAGTACCTGTAAGCAGTTACTCCCCATTCTCTTCTGTCTTCAGCCTCCGGCAACCACCAATCTGTTTTCTGTCTCAACGCATTTGCCTATTCTGGATATTTCCTGTAATTGAAATCATACAATATAATGACCTTTTGTGTTTGGCTTTTTTCACTCAGCATAATGTTTTTGAGGTTCATAAAAATACATTTCCAACTTTCATTCAGAAGCTTACCTGATTTAAAAATTAAAATGAGTTTGACCACAATCTTGGCCTAACACATTAACTCAGATTATTCTTGTTTGAAAAGGTGCTTATAGGGTAGTGATTGCTCATATTTATATAGTGGTTGCCTTTTACAGAGTGGTTCACAAAATATACCTGACTTGATGATTACTGCAGCCCAATGAGGTGGATAGGGTGGGAGTTAGAACCCTCACTGTCCAACCCTTACACAACTGTCAACACTATGATTTATAAAATAAAGGCACCTAACGTCTCTTAAGTGTTCAAGTGCCAGGAAGTATACTAAGCATTTTGCGTTTATTTACTCATTTAATCATCACAGCCAACCTATGAAGTATGTACCATTATTGTCATTTCATAGATGAGAAAATTTAGGCACAGAAAAGTTAAGTAACTTTCCCAAGGTCGCATGATCAGTGAGTGATAGACGTGGCATTCAGACCCAGGGAGTCTTGGCTCCAGGGCCCGTGCCCTTTAACAGCACACACTCTTCTGCCCAGGACCCGTGTGATGACCTACTGATGATCAGTGGTGGAGCTGGGGCTGGTAGTGGCAATTCCTAGACCTGGCTTATGAGCTGGGCCGCTATTACCTTGGCTCTTCTCGGGCACACTTGCTGTGTACACCTACCTTCTTCAGATGGGAGACATGAATTTCAAACTCTTTCTGCCTAGTCTTCCACAAAACAGTGCTGCCGAACCTTTTGCCGTGGACAGTGGCTCTCTTAATTATGCCTTTTTATCTTCCAGGTGTTAGCTACTGGCGGGTGCCTCATGAGCTGATAGAATGTTGGACCCTGGAAGAGCGGCCCTTACTTGGAAGCCTCCGTCACATGGCCCCAGTTCGAAAGAGGTTATCTGTGCTCTGTTGATAGTGTTTTTTGTTTTTTTAATATGACCTGTAGTTTTCCTGCCTTTATTGGGGAAATGAATAATGTTGACCTTACTAAATTTATTAATCACCAAGGTAAGTATTCTGCCTTACCATCAAAATTAAATTGTGATAAATTCAAAGTTACCAAAACAATGTAAAAACTGAAAATAATTCTCTAAAACTGAGTTATAGTATGTTCTTTTTGGGAGAGTGTGTTTTTAAGAATACTAGTGGATACAGTGAGAATGCTATGGTATTTTTCCCTATAAAAGTGAAATCCTAGGCTTTATTGGCAGTAGTCAAAAACTTATTTATCAGACTTAATATTTGAAATCTCCTGTGACTTATTTTGAATTCCTTTCACCTTCCTATTACCACAAATAGCATTTTATTTAAAGATTTTATTTATTTATTCATGAGAGACAGAGAGAGAGAGAAGCAGAGGGAGAAGCAGGTTCCCAAGGAGCAGGGAGCCCGATGCGGGTCTTGATCCCAGGACCCTGGGATCATGACCTGAGCCAAAGGCAGACGCTTAACCATCTGAGCCACCCAGGCGCCCACAAATAGCATTTTTATTTAATATTTCTTATATTTTATGAAATTAGCATCAAATTCACTCTACATCTGTGCTTTTCACTTTAAATACATTTAAATACATTTAAAATCATATTTATTTTTCATTGGGTATTATTCATGCTTTTCAGATGTTCTGATTTCTTCATCATTTGTCCTAGAATTTGATTCACTGCTCCTATGGAATCTGATTGCTTTCTTTTTTTTGCCCTTTGGCTCTTTCACAGAAATGCGGAGAATTTTATTCAGTTTTTAGTGGTTCATTATCTCTTGTTAAAACAGATCTTTTTTCTTAAAGGCCCTCAATTTGTTATCATTATTTTGCTTTTTGAGCTTACAGTTAGCAAATATTGTTTGGGTCTAGAGCAGGGGTTCTCAAATGGGGGCAGTTCTGTCCCACAGGACATATTTGGCAATGTTTAGAGACACTGTGGGGTGGGAGGTGCTACTGGCACCTAGTAAGTAGAGGCCAGGGACACTGCTAAATGTCGTAGAATGCACTGGGCAGCACCCACAACAGAGATTTATCCAGCCATAAATGGCAATAATGTTAAGGTTGGGAAACCTTGGTCAAGAGTCTAGTGGAAGATGTGGACTGAAAAAACAAGCAGGATTGGTTTTATGGAGATTCTCCTCTGTGTTGTCTTTTCTTTGGTTTATTAAGCATTCTTTTTGATTCATGGATAAGATAATGATAATGATGACTTAGAAGCAACTGCAAGGTCCCAGAGAATCATTTGATTCACTTGAGAAAATTTAGTTATGTTCAGTAGTTTTAGGGTTGAATATATTATATTTGCATTCTCTACTACATGTCGGTGTTCAGATCACCATGCCATATTGATGAGAAGGAGAAGACTTGGGGGAACTTTCTGTTCAGGAGATGATCTTCGTGAAGTGAAACTGATGCAAGCAGTAGAAGGAGCAGGCAGGGTTTCAACAGTGGTTGGTTGACAGTTTTAAGGTCATTTCAAACAATATTCCCTGTGATTTTTCCTTCATTTTGTTAATGTGATATATCACATTGACTGGCTTATAGATGTTGAACCATCCTTGCATCCCTGGAATAAATCCTACTTGATCATGGCGTATAATCCTTTTAATGTACTGTTGAATATGGTTCGCTAGTATTTTGTTGAATATTATTGCATTTATGTTCACCAGGGATATTTTCTTTTCTTGTGGTGTTCTTGTCTGGTTTTGGTATCAGGGTTCTCCTGGCCTTGTAAAAAGAATTAGGAAGAGTTCCCTCATCTTCTGTTATTTGGAAAAGTTTGAGAAGGATTGGTATTAAATCTCCTTCAAATGTTTGGTAGAATTTACCTGGACTTTTGTTTGTTGGGAGTTTTTATTTTGTTTTTGTTTTTAAAATAAGCTCTAGGCCCTATGTGGGCCTTGAACTCATGACTCCAAGATCAGGAGTCACAGGCTCCACTGACTGAGCCAGCCAGGTGCCCTGGTTGCTTTTTGATTACCGATTCAGTCTCCTTAGTAATCGGTCTGTTCAGATTGTGAATTCCATCATGAGTCAGTCTTGGTAGGTTGTATGTTTCTAGGAACTTTTAAACATTCATTCATTCATTCATTTATTTCCTTTTTTTAAAAAACGCTGAAGTATAGTTGACATACAATGTTCTATTAGTCAGGTGTGCAACATAGTGAATCAACAATTCTGTACATTATGCATTGCTCACCATGCAAAGTGTCGTTACCATCTGTCACCATACAATATTATATAATATTATTGACTGTATTCCCTATGCTGTACTTTTCATCCCCATGACTTATTTATTTTATAACTAGAAGTTTGTACCTCTTAATCCCTTAGGAATTCGTCCATCTCTTTTAAGCTGTCCAATTTGTTGGTGTGTAATTATTCGTAGTAAGCTCTTTTGACCCTTTGTATCTCCGTGGTATCAGTTGTAACCTCTCCTCTTCATTTCTGATTTTACTTATTTGTGTCCTCTCTCTTTTTTCTTGGCTGGTCAATTTTATCTTTTTAAAGAACCAGCTTTTAGTTTCATTGATCTTTTCTATTGCTTTATAGTCTCTATTTCATTTACTTCTGCTCGAATTTTTATTTCCTTCCTTCTACTAATGATGTGTAGTTGTCACTCAGCTATTCTTTAGGATTTTATTTTTTAAGAGGAAATTGTACCATATATAGATTTAGACTCAGTATATCTGTGGGAGGAGGTAAGTTCAAGATTTTCCTACATCACCATCATGAACTGAAACAAATCTATCATATGGTTTTGATACCACATCAAAAATCATATGATCATCTCAATAGATACAGAAAAAGCATTTGACAAAATTCAACAACAATTTATGATAAAAACTCTCAACAAAGTGGGAATAGAGGGACTACATTTCAACATAATAAAGCCATATATGAACAGCCCACAGCTAGCAACATACTCAGTGGTGAAAAGCTGATAGCTTTTCTTCTAAGGTTAGGAACAAGACAAGTATACCCACTCTCGCCACTTTTATTCAACATAGTACTGGAAGTCCTAGCCAGAGCATTTAGGCAAGAAAAAGAAATAAAGGGCATCCAGATTAGAAAGGAAGAAGTAAAACTGGCACTATTTGCAGTTGGCATGATATTATACATAGAAAACCTTAAAACTCCATCAATACTGTTAGAACTAACAAATTCAGTAAATTTGCAGGATACAAAATTAACACATCAAAATCTTGTTTCTATACACTAATGATGAATTATCAGAAAGATAAGAAAACAATCCCATTTGCAATTGCACCAAAAAGAATAAAACATCTAGGAATAAATTTAGCCAAGGAGGTAAAAGACCTGTTTTTGAAAACTCTAAGACGTGAAACAAATTGAAGAAAACATAAATAAATGGGAAGATATTCTGTCCTCATGGATTGGAAGAATATTGAAAAAATGTCCATACTATCCAAAGCAATCTACAGATTCAGTGCATTCCCTATCAAAATTCCAATGGCATTTTTTTTATGGAAATAGAACAAACAACCCTCAAATTTGTATGGAACCACAGAAGATCGTGAAGAGCCAAAGCAATCCTGATAAAGAAGATTTGACAAAGCTGGAAACCTCATGGTCCCTGATTTCCAATTAGCATAGTCCCCCCCTTATCCACAGAGGATATGTTCCAAGACCCCCAGTGGATGCCTGAAACCACAACAGTGCTGAACTGTATATGTACTGTGTGTTTTCCTATACATACATACCTGTGATCAAGTTTAGTTTATAAAGTAGGCACAGTAGGAGATTAATAGCAATAACTAATAAAATAGAACAGTTGTAACAATATACTGTAATAAATGTTATCTGAATGTGGTCTCTTAAGATATCTTATTGTACATCATCCTTATGATGATGTAAGATGATAAAATGCCTATATGATGAGATGAAGTGAAGTGAATAACATAGACATAGCATTAGGCTAGTAGTCATAGTATGAATGACATTGTGACATAGCGTTAGGCTACTACTGACATTCTGATGATAGTCAGAAGGAGGATCATCTGCTTCCAGACCATGGTTGACTATGGGTGATTGAAACTGCAGAAACTGCAGAAAGGGCAGACTACTATATATTACAAAACTATAATAATTAAAACAGTATGGTATTGGCATAAAACCAGACACATAGAAGAACAGAATAGAAAGCCCAGAAATAAAGCCACACATATATGGTTGTCTAGTTTACAACAAAAAGAGCCAAGAATACACAATGGGGAAAGGACAGTCTCTTTAATACATGGTGTTGGGAAAATTGGATATCCACATGCAAAAGAGTGAAACTGGATCCCTATCTTGCACGATACACAAAAGTTAAAGTAGATTAAAGACTTGAAGATAAGATCCGAAGTCGTAAACTCCTGGAAGAAAACAGAGTAATAAGTTCCTTAACATAGGCCTTGGCAATGATTTTTTTTGTATCTGATACCAAAAGCAAAAGCAACAAAGGCAAAAATAAACAAGTGGGACTGTACCAAACTAAAAAACTTCTGCATGGCAAAGGAAACCATCAAAATCAAAAGACTTTCTGCTGAATGGCAGAAAATATTTGCAAATCATATATCTGATAAGGAGCTAATATCTAAAATATATAAGGAACTCATACAACTCAGTAGCAAAAAAAAAGTGATTAAAAATGAGCAGAAAATCTGAATAGACATTTTTCTGAAGAAGACATACAGATGCCTGACAGGTACAAGAAAAGATGCTCAACATCAATAATCAGGGAAATGCAAATTAAAACCACAATGATATCACCTCAAAGCTGTTAGGACGGCTATTACCAAAAAGACAGGAGATAACAAATGTTGGCAAGGATGTGGAGAAAAGGGAACCCTTGTGCAGTTATGGTGGGAATGTAAACTGGTGCGGCCACTGTGGAAAATAGTAGAGAGGTTCTTCAAAAAATTAAAGGTAGAACTACCATATGATCCAGCAATTTCACTTCTGGTATCACCAAAAAATGCAGAGTAATTTGAAAAGATATATGCACCCCCATGTTCATTGCAATATTGTTTACAATATGGAAAAATTCAAGTGTCAATTGATGGATGAATGGATAAAAAAGAGGTGATACACACACATGCACACACACACGGTGGAATATTATTCAGCCATAAAAAAAGAATGAAATCTTGCCATTTGTGACAACATGGATGGACCTTGAGGGCATTAAGTGAAGTAAGTCAAAGACAAATACCATGTGATCTAATATGTGGAGCAAAAAAAAAAAATTCCAATCTGATAGATGCAGAACTGATTGGTGGTTGTCAGAGGCAAGGGGTGGGGGAAGGAAGAAATGGGTAAACTAGGGTGGGTTTTTTTGTTTAAATAAATCGAATTTTTTTTAAATTAAAAAAAGAAACACTGCTCCGCCTTTAGACTTTTTATAATGAATGGCAAACTCAATTCAGGAATCTTTGAAGGTTTGTCCAGTACCTCTCAAATTCAAAAATTCAAATGGGTTTGACCATTCTACCAGCTCCCAAAATAACTTCCGCAGAATGCTAATTTTACTGGGTGCCAAATGTTGCATTACAGAATTACTGGGAAATACGGATCCAACAAAGTTAAACAAGTGTCTTTACTTGAGACCCCAGAACCTTTGTTAATATAGAGTGTCAAGTTTCAAGAGAGTAAAATATGCAATAGCAAAGAGTTTATTGGACTGTGAAACACTCAGTAAACTTCCTCAGTAGATCTCTTAAAAAAACCAACAACTTGGGATCATCCTGGTTATCCTCTGGATCACGTGAGGATTCTTAGGAACCAAGTGATGTAGTGTATAATTCCGGTGTAACATACTAAATTTTAATTCGTCGTTCATATTAACATTGTGATTTTAAGAGTTTGTATTCAAGCAGAAATAACCTTGCGTAAACTTGGTGATTTACTTATTGACCTTGGTGGGAGAGATGAGGTAGTCTGATCCCTCTGAACCTCTTGACTCAAATTCTTGATGAAAACGATTTTGCCCCTGAAGATAAAACTTTGTGGAGACGTTTCCATGGGTCACCCAACCTGTAAACGCTGACCATGACATGCTTCTGTATTCACAGGCGACTGATGGCTTTCAATGAAGAGGAAGACGAAGGTGTGAACTCTAAGACTGGTCCCAAGCCAGTCAGATTCCTGGGCCCCTCCACCAGCACCCAAATTAAAGTCAAGAACTCGGCGTCGGTCAGGGTGTCCTCGGCCAGCGCCCTCCATTCTGCGGGCGGAAAGGCAGCGCCGCGCTCGGCGCCGCCTAAGGCTCCGTCCCCCGCGGGCACTGCGCAGCCGGGGCAGCCCCAGGCTCCTCGTGGGGCCGGGAGCGCTGAAAACGGAGCCGCGCACCCACCCCCCGCCAAGGTCCTGCTCTCCGACAAGAAGTCCACCCCGCCCCGAGTGATAAAACTGAAGCGGACTCCACTGTGCGCCGCCGGGCCGTCCCCACCTGCCGCAGCCGCAGCCACAGCCAGGCCCGCGGGGCCCCCGGTGTCAGCCCCGGAAGCCCCCCAGGCGCACGCGCGGACTGAAAACGGGCGGGGCCAGGCTGATTGACGGAAGCGTGGGCTCCGGACCTCCCGCTCGCCTCCCGGAGCGCCCGAGCCGTGCGCTGCAAATAGGTGGCGCTGTTTCTTGGTGCAGTAGGGGTGGAAACGGGTTTCTCTTTAGGATCGTTACGGGAAAAATGAATTATGTCAAGTAGGAATGGAAGAGGGAGACTTTACGTGGTTGGGCCTATCTTTATTTCTCCCAACTTTGAAACGGTTGTCTACTGATAGTTTGAATTTCAGGTTTTTAATTCTTTTTTTTTTTTTTGATGATTCATTGGTATTAAGGCAACAAAACAGTACAGTAAAATCATCGCTAGAGGAGTCCACTTTGTTCTTGAGTAATTATAGACTTTAGGCACTTTTGTAATGTTACTCATTGCTGCCCAGGGCCGAATGAGGTTAGATATTCCCGTCTGGTGAGTTAGGGTGACATTCGTGTTTCCCTGTGCTGTGTCACAGCCAAGAGATTTGAGAGAAAATGCAGACCCAGGTGAACTCCCTGCAGGTTTGTTTCAGTCTCAGAAGCCTTCGTGAAAAGAAATGAGGAAAAAAAAAAAGACAGTAATCTAAGATCACATTTTCTTTGACTCAATTGAACTATTTTCTTTTCCTAGATTGTTTTTTTCTTACTCTTTTTTGCTAGCAGATTTATTTATACATCACAAGAAGATGTCTTGGGATGAGAACTAAATAACGTCTTCGGAATGAATTGTTAAAATATTTTAATTTGAATAGCGAAGTTCTGAAAGTACTTTGGAAAACAAGTTAAGCGTTAACTTTTAACTGAAGTTACTACTTGTTTCTCAGGAATGACCATTGAGGAGTCATTCTGACTATACAGTATGATTTTTATGCATAAAATTCCCACTTAACTTGAACTTAATATTTTTAAACAGAATATTTTGATTAATCCTCTATTTTTTCACAGCTATTCAGTTGTATGTGTTTACTCTTATGTGTTGAGTTTTATAATTGGATCCCATATTTCTACCTTCAGTAAGCAGTATGCCTTCAGTGTATTAAAAATAAGTTCATAAAGCAGGGTACTTTTTATTCAGTGCTTATCATTGTACTTGCATTACTTTGAAAGAGTAGAGTAAATATACTCAAAACATTACTTTTTACAAAATAAAGTAAAATTTTTCCATACAAAGTAATATTTTCCATGACTGTGGTTATTTTTAAGCCTTACAGCCCTTTGTGAGTCTGAGAGGTTGTTTGTTTATGTAGTTTATCTATTTCTGGTTACAAAATTGCTTTCTTGTCTAGGTAATGTATGAAATAATTAAACCAATTTCAGATAGCTATCCAGATACCAGCAGCCTTTTAAAATAGGTGTTTTATTTGACTAGAAAAAAGTGAATGTTCAGCTGATGGTTCATGAATGACATTTCCCTGTGGAACAGAAAAAATATTTAGTCACCTTGAAAAATACTATTATAAAGAATCCAAGCATTCTGAAAATCAAAGATCACAGTGAATTTTGAGAACTGCCATTTCCGACATACTAGTATTGCTTGATCTAGGGCATTTTGAATTGCTGATTCGTATAAGAATATTATTTTATACCAGTGGTACCAATAGACTTGCTTGATGCAAAGTTGCCACGAAACCTTCAATCTGTAAGAAATGCAGTATCTATGAAGCACACAATAAAGCAAAGTGCAATTAAATGAGCTGTGCCTGTGCTCATGGGTGATTCTGTGAACAGCCTGCTCTTCTTTGCCACTAACAGCTTAAACGAAGTCTATTTAGCACATCTGGTCTTAATAAGCAGAGAGTTTTGGGAATAGCTACCAGGCTGTGGTGCGGCTGAGGTGGAAAGGAACAAGTGGCCCCTTTTGGGGATCAGGAGTCAAAGTCGAATTCAGAATGCTCAAGTAACTTGAACATTACTTTAGTTGGAGTGGTTCCTTGGGGATTAGGTACTTTTGCATGAAAACACGTTTCTCAAGACTGCAGACACAAAGGTATAACTCATCATAACCCACTGTTCTTCCTGGAAAATGAAAAATAAGAAATGGGAAAGTGTGCTTTATAAATAACGGTTCAGTGTCCTTACTTTGGGAATGTAGGTTTGTGCAGTTGTTGGGTCAGAGGACACAATAGAAATTTTTAGTGGTGACTGTAGGATATTTAGTTACTGCTCATATCAAAAAAAGATATTTGACTATGATGCCCTTACAGGTAATCTTTGTTGAAAACTGGTTTGCCCTGGGCGCCTGAGTGGCTCAGATGGTTAAGCGTCTGCCTTCAGCTCAGGTCATGATCCCAGGGTCCTAGGATTGAGTCCCGCATCAGGCTCCCTGCTCCTTGGGAGCCTGCTTCTCCCTCTCCCTCTCTCTCTCTCTCTCTCTCTCTCTCTCTTTCTGTCTCTCATAAAAAAATAAAAAAAATTTAAAAAAAAAAAAAAGAAAACTGGTTTGCCCTGATTAAAGCTGGTTAGTTATATCATGGAGAGCCTAAGGCTGACAGTTTATATTTCATATTTGTAAATAGTAAGTTTTCGGTTCAATATTGCCTTACACTACAGTTTTATAAAGTATGTTCATATATTCTATTTTATTGTGTTCATTTTGCTTCTTAGTTTCAGAACAACAACATAATAAAGGTCGTCTTTCCCAGTTCTTTCAACATCAAGAAAAAAAATGAGGTTGAACAAAATAAAGGCTGTGCAATAGTGGCACCCCCCCCATCTCAACCCCATGCTTTGGCCCATAATCTGATATCCACAGAATGACCAAAGGAAACGGTAGATGGAGGAAGTAGACTAAAAATGTGAATTTGTTTAATATTTAAAGTTTTTGAACAGGAAAGTATTAAAGTATTGGATTACATGTTTTTCCTACTCGAGAGGGGACTCCGTTGCGTCTCTATGTGCAATGCGTGGTACATGGTAGTCCTTCAGTAAATTTCTGAACAGTTAAGGCAATCCCCTGCTCCCCTCCTCCCCCCAACAATTATTTTTAAAAGCGTGTCTGGTAGCAATCTTCAGGAGCTGTGGAAACTGATTTCTGACCTTGCAGAGTATATCCTGTCAGAACAAAAGAGGTGGTAGTAGAAATTTTTTAGTAGGGTGATTATTGCTAATAGCCAAAATTACCATCAGTAATGGCCAGACCAGTTACAGGACTTGTCAAGTTGTTTAAAGTAATCCAGAACCACGGATCAGGAGATCTCAGGGAGGTCGATGCCAGTACTGCCAGACTTCTGAGAAAGGAAACAAGCAGTCTGGCCTCTCTCCTCCTGCCGTACTGCTTCAGCGAGAATTGCTGATGCAATTTCTTTTTCATTCACAGACTTAATCCTATTCAAGTGCTAACAGTGAAAACACTGTTGACTCACTTCCCAGTCTGTGGTTAAATATAGTATAATTATCCAGCTATTCCTTGATTTTTAAAGGAATTAACATACAAGCATATTTGACTTTACCTGAGGAATTGTTCATAGAACACTTTTGATTTAAATAGCATTTTGAATGTGCACAAAGACTTGTGGTGGTAAATTGTTCTGTAAAGGGAAGGATGCTAACATTTGTATGAATATGAGGTTACCTTAAAAAGGATTGCCTTCTGGGCGCCTGGGTGGCTCAGTTGGTTAAGCGACTGCCTTCGGCTCAGGTCATGATCCAGGAGTCTCTGGATCGAGTCCCGCATCGGGCTCCCTGCTCAGCAGAGAGTCTGCTTCTCCCTCTGACCCTCCCCCCTCTCATGTGCGCTCTCTCTCTCTCTCTCTCTCTCTCTCTCATTCTCTCTGTCTCAAATAAATAAATAAAAAAAATCTTTAAAAAATAAAAAAAAAAAGGATTGCCTTCTACCTGCAATTCCTTTGGATGGCTTTAATCTATATCAGGTAGGATGTAGGTTAGATACTATAGTGGAAAGTATGAATTTGATAAAATGAAGGGAAAGAACTTCTACTCTAGCAAATGGGAAGTATTTTCAAATTATTTACGTGTGTATTCCTAAATTAACTAGGAACTTTCTTTTTTTCCCCAAAAGCTTAAATTTTATTTATTTTTT